AATTTATTCTGACTTTGAATTTATATTACTGTGAAGTTTTATCAAAATCGGCAAGTTGAAAGGTAGACAAATATTCATATATGTATACATATATACTCACAACCTTTCGCATTTACAATATTAACTAGGTGCCTTAGAAATACATTTGGTGTGTAAAATTATACTATAAAGGTGGCACTTCACTTGGCGTTGCATATTCGCCGCATTTGTCCAAATATTTTTACGTACTAAGTCCAAATAGCGCAAACACAACATCCACACTTGGCATGCCAACAACACGTCTTTATGCGTTTTTGCTTATTTGTGAATGTGTCCTATTTGTCCAAATATGTCAAATGAAGACGAATAAATGGTCTTATTTGGCCGAACACAACAAATAAACGCCAAGTGGAGTGCCACCTTAAGACACTATCGTCCTTCTGACACACACATTATCACACACATCTATTATTATATGGATTCTAAGAAGATTCATGACTGACTAACTTCTAAGTATAATGTCTAAAGACACTAAATCTCAAACATAATGACAATTCTATTGAAATATAAAAATAAATATGAACAATAAATTATAGTTCATTTTAGATGGTTATCCATTTCCAGATAAAAGACATGTTAGTCTTGAAAAATAATTTTATTTATAATAACTATCACGATTATTAGTGCTATAAATTGAAATAAATAATCGAAGGCTAAAAAAATTATACTTAGGAATAACTGGGTCCATCAGACAATAAGAATGATACTAAAGGTTTGTATATTGGATAAAATTAAAAAGGATTTATATCATCCTTAAGTTACTGACGAAAAAACTTTAGGTATCTATCATATTAATGTATAATTATTATTAATTACTTCATTTCTTTAAAAATATAAATACCTTTAATCATAACTCATTCCATTAACAATTGTGTCACAATTTTTTACCTACCTAGGTATATTGCCATATTTTCCCGTGCAATAATTACAAAACGTCAAACAAATAAAAAAACTTTCCCATATTTTTAAACAAAATCTGACCTCACGAAAGTAATATAAATAACACTGATTTAATCATTAATCACTGAGATATGTTTATGATACATATGTCATAGTAACTCATCGTTATCATGAACTTGAAGGTTAGCAAGTAACAAGATGAGCCATGGTGAATCACGACTTGGGATGTCCATATATATGATATGATTAAGTATAATAGTAATGATATATTAAACGTCTTAAAAGAGATTCATATCATAAAAATTTTGAATTAATTTTATATATTATTGCAATTAAAACAGCACCCTTATCATATTTAATTTGATAAAATCTATAGTAATTTTTATCTCTATTTCGACTTATTTTATTTTTAGTATACTAATTATTTTTATTATTCCTACTGAAAACTATTGTAATTATTGTTTTTTTAATTTAAACTCATATTAAGGTTGCTGGTAGAAATGATTATTTAAATGTTTTATCGTTACCCTTCTACGGAGCATTAACAGTTTTTCATTAATAAATTTGTACATGTATACCTCATACTCAGTATACTCAGTAGCAATGTAAGTTTATAAAAGATATAAGGCTACTTTATATGTTAAGTTTATTAATACTAGGAGATGCTCTAAGAATTTCATCTTAGCATTTCGGTACCAAACCCTTTTTAAAAGATATGGATTTGTTTTCCGGCACTAAAATTAAAATTGGTAGTCAAATGTAAATTAAAAAAACACCACAGATAACTGATCTAACGAAAACAAAAAAACTACGACTCGATCGAACATTCGTTTGTCGAGATCATCTCCGTGGATGAATGAACTGAGTCACTAGTATATGGTTCCGCGCAATAAACTTGTGGTATGGTTCCGTACAAGGTAGAAATGTTAATGTTAGTTCAAAATCGAATTAATTTTAAATATACGTATATGTAAGAATAAGTTTTTTCTAAAACTTTCAGTTATCCTCTTTATTTATTTTAAATATTAAATCACTATAAAATTATCAAACATTGTTTCAAGTAAATTAATTGACATGGAAAGAATGTTTACTTTATAATTTTCAAATTTTACTTATTTTCTTACTTCTTAAATTTAATTAACTTATTTGATTTTACAGCTGCTTTTTACTCCTTTTAAGAATTTGTAGTACTAAGAGAATATTAAAAATACTTGAAATTGTATTTATGAAGTATTTTTAACAATTTTAGATACCTCTATTACTTGTAAAAAGTAGGAAAAAAATATACTTAATTTGCTGATAAAGTGCTGCAAGTTTCAAGAAAATATTTTACAATAGACCTATCTACAAATTAGTAATTTGTTTAAACAATGTCTTAAAAAATACTTTATTTATACAAATAAAAATATTAAATATAAAAAAATACAAATATATTTTCGTCCTCTCAAAATTAAGACTAACATTTTTATAAATAGATATTGGGTATGCATACTTAGCTTGTAGGTACGTAAGTCATAGAAAAACGGATGTATAAAGTTATTCTAATTCTATTAACCTTGCTAGGTGTGAAATGATTTTTACATTTCGGTTACATGACACCAGTGATATTGACGTATTTAGTAAACTTCCATCAAACCTTGGTAAAATCCCATTCGAAGTGACACACGTTTTACATACGAAGGTAAACAATGTTTTAAATATACGAATTACTTTAAATTATCCATAAATTTTGATGGAATTTTGATTCATACAAATATACTTTCGAGGTGAAACTTGATTTCAAAGTCCGTATCATGCATTGTCCTTATTCCATTATCAATGTTAAGTGAGGTTAAACAGTTGAGGTATTGGATTCCGAACTAATATCTTTGTCGTATAGCCCTACGTATAAAAAAAATATCTTACATCGCAATATTTTGCGCGGACATTTAAAATATGAATAAATTAACCATTAATCCTATCATGTTTATAAACAATAATTTAAATATAATAAAAAAAAAACAGGAAATCGGTCGTATATCAAAAAAATGTATAATATAATATTTAGATGAATCAATCTTAAAAATGTTTTCGACAATCAGGAAAACAGGAAATTAGTTAAGACATTAAGACATTTAGTTCACTTTAATACAAAACTATTAATGAAACGTGGACGCGACCCTGAATGAACTTCCGGGGACCTTAGAAGCAGTTGTTGAAAGATTTTAAGCAGATAAGTCAATGGATATATAATATTAGTTTTACTTAAAACCATTTTTTTTTTGTTTATTCCAAACACATAACAACAAACACTTCCTTTTCCTATGACTTTAACAGCGAGGTTGCATTATAGGGTTAAGGATATTTGTGCATTTTTAAAATGAAACTATATGGAACTGTTACCTTCAATGATGTCAAAATGTTTAGTATGAAATTATCACAAACATGTACGACGCGACCTTATGACTCATAAAAAGTTTATTTTTGATATACGAGTAGGTACGAGCCTTAATTCTAGTTTGCGCCTGAAGAGAGACAGTGTTATAAAGCCTATGGTAGAGAGAAAATTGTAACATTAACTACCGTTCATTTCAAAGAGATTCTCTTAAAAAGCTTTTCTAGTATCTAGCTACCTCAATAAAATTATAAGCAATTCCATCATACAATATCGGAACTTAACTCTAAAAATATTTAAAAAAATACCTGCTACTCTGGTGAAATAAAAGTACAGGATATTAATAAATGGAGTATATATTTTGTTCCGCAACTCCAAAACTAACCGTTAATCTGATCATACTCGTATCAGTACCTACGAGTTTCCAATATCAAATTAAACACCTATAATAATAATTCTCAGTTGTATGTAAGTTTTAAAAAGTGTGTTATGTTGACTAGACTAAGTCTGTTACGGGACTTTAATACTTTATAATCTGAGATCATATTTATGACATATTTGACTTGAAACAATAGTTGGCAATTTTTTATATGGATATTAAGTATATTACTATAGATAATGTAAATAAGAAAATAGGATACCTTATATATTCACCAATAATTTAAGCAATTATATCTTATTACATCAATAGAAAAAAATATTTTATTGTATCAACAATTTTGGTTGTTGAATCCATATTTTAGGAGTCATTGGTTGGGCTTATTTTACCGTAGAGAAACGAATCTATATGTTATTTAAAAGTTTACAAAAGTTTAGTAACTATTTTATCCAATAATAGTTTAGTAATGTTATTGTTCTATTAACAAAAATATGGCTGAGATTGATTAAACTGGACTTTAAATTTGTACTTACTTCTTTTTCCTTTACGTACACAAAACAATTGTTAACGGCTTCCTCTTTGAGTTTTGAGACAAAATAGATAATCATGCCTATAATGTGATTCTTTTAAACATATGGATAGAGACACCATTTCGATATTCCACAGTAAAACTATTTTAGTCAAGTAAGAAAGTCAGAAAAAAATCGATAGAAACAAAGTCATGGACGTCTTTAGCGCAATAGCGGAAATCTGGTTCGTTAGAGTTGATGTAATGGAATATACCCATTTAATATTAACACCGCATAGTAAGAGGCTATGATGATACAAGTTTTTGGTAAAAGGGAACAGAAATAATGAAATGAGCGCGCTTTCCGGTGGTGTAAAGATTTACTAAAAACGTTTTACACTGCTTTCCCATGAGACTAAAAGAACTGATTCCTAAAGGGACTTCATTCTTTTGCAATGGTAAAGTATTACTAGCAACGGTAATGGTAATGTATTACTAGCAACGTCAGTTTGAAATTTATAAGTCTTTACAGCCATAACAATTAAGTAATGATTAATGATGGATCCTTGATTTTAATTTTTAAGTATACAGATAATAGAATTTTATTTCATTATATTTAGAGCCATCTATTGGTTGCTTTTCAATTTATACTACATTTAAATAGTTCATTAGTTTATCAATAGAGGGCGCTGTTACAACTGGTCATTCTTTTTTTGTAAGTTATATCACTGAGTATTTTATATCAAGTTATTGATTAAATGAAAGACATATTATTTGTATATTTTTATTTTCATTGATAACTAATAGTTTTTAAAATGTTTAAGCCTATACAAATAAGCGCAGCCTTTGTTATTACCAATGCCCATATATCCACTGTTGGGTGAAAAGCTGACAGTTTCGACTTGGTACAAGTTTTGTTTGGGGAAATTACAGAATACATGATAAGATGGTATATGTATTAATTTGAGAGCATTAGGGAAATAACTGGATGTTATCGATAATATCTCTGTTGTAGAATTAAACTTCAGATTGGTTATTTTTGTTGTCAAATTCATAATAGTTTTAAGAGGTAATGGATTTTGTGTTGTCAGATTTTTTGTGTCGTAAATATTAACTATACCTTCCCCGCTGCCAGTTGCTAATAATTGACCGCAATGACTCATAGCTATTTTAGAAGCGTTGATACAGCCATTGTCGGTGAATTTCTTTATTGATCTGAACATAGAGAGATCCCACACGGTAATTTCCCCTTGTATGCCATAACAATACAAATTTTCTGAGTTATTACTGAATACTACTGATTCTACATTTGTATTATGCTTTAAAGCTCTTAATAATTCTTTTGAATTGGCACATATGATGTAGATTTCATCAAAACCGTCACTCGTCGCTATGAATTTCCCATCAGGTGATAGTTTGAATATTTTTGCCGCTTTTACTATCCTTGGCAACTGGACCAATATGGGCTCGGCTTTTGCTAGATTATATACACAGTAGTTGTGACATAATTTGGATGCAATGTATGCTTCAGAACCGTCCGGAGAGAATTGTGAAGTGGTGACATTAAATTTTTTTAATTTGAAGCTATGAAGTTTATTATTAACATCTCCGCCGATAGAAAATAGTGACACTATACCAGCTTTGCCCCCAACAAGGACTACACTCATTTTAGGATGAAATTCTACTGATGATATGAAAGGCCCTTCGTTACTTGTTTCGGAATTAATTTTTGGGAACTTCTTTATTTCTAAGACATCTTTCTTCAGACTCTTTGTTTTTGTCTTCTGTAAGTGACCAACGGTTCTCAGTAATTTGTCATCTTCATCATCTTTATCGTCATCCTCATTCTTCTCCTTGACTTTAGCCCAACTTGGTGTACCGATAAGTGTTTCATATTTTTGTTTAAGTTTTTGAACATAAAGTCCTTCAGATTTCACTTGAGGTATAATATTAATAGGAGTTTTTTCATCATCGTCATCTATCCAAGCGGGTTTTCGGTCTATGTCAATGTCTTTTTTGACTTCTGATATATTTTCAGTAAACTTTCTGGTTTTGTTGAAAAGCAATTTCGACAGCCTGAAAATATCAAACAATCAGGTGAATAATTAAATTATACAAAATTTGGCTAAAAATTTTTGTTATGATAAAAACATAGAACAGATAGGATAAGTTGTTTAGATGTGTTATTTTTATTCTTTAATACTAGAAAAATATAATAATTTATTACCTCGTTTCTTCTTCATCCAGTCGGGAGTTTTTACGTTTCATATTTAAAATCAGATATTATTTATAAATAGTTTCTAAACATATGCTTTAAATTTTAACCTATAACACAAACTATTCCAATGTGTTGATCTTGGTTTAGTGTTGACACTTTGTCATTATGACTTATGTCATTTGTTTATAATTTTCATATAAATCTCACCCGAATACAGATTATAATATAACTGTCCTTTTATTGTTCATTTAGCTATTAATCATCAATGAATAAGTTCAAGTTTAATAAATATAATTACCTATTACGACATGACTTACATTACGTTACCTTACGTTATAATAACAACTGGCTCTTATCAAATAGTATCAATACTTAAAAATAAATAATTTAAAAAAAATAATGTCACATGATTTTTAATTTTTTGTACTTTTTTGTAAAAAATAAGATATAAGATATTTCTGAACTCAATTTTGTAACGGTAAAGCAGTTTATTATTTAAGATTACAATATATAGTACTAGATGTCGCTTTTTTAAATTTATTGCTTGTCTATCTCTTTCTGTTCTATGGGTTTGTTACTGCAACACGACAACCAGTGCTTCAATATGAAACTGTAAATTTGACCAATCAGATACACGACATGAACACTGTTTAGAAGATTTTATTGGTCGTTTTGTTTGTACGAGGTAGCCATAACTTTATTATAACCCAACTGATCGTAAAGCTTATAGAGTAACACTCAAAAGAAATAGTTTTAACTACCTTTATCTGTTAGTCGTATGTCATAGTTAGGGTGATTTCATTCGTTGTTCTTTCGTAGTGTTTCACTCGAATGGCATCGTATTGCGAATCTAAGAGATTTTTTTTGTGTTTCTAGTGTTAATGATAAACAATAGATTGCTCTATCTTAATGATTACGACAAACAATCACATTATAATATATTAAGAGTAGCTTGTGTTACTTTAAAGATGAAGAAAATATTTTTTATTCTGTGACCTTTTTACATTCTGAAGTGTCAATATGGATCCTTATGAAATGAATTAATATACAGTAGTGACAACCAAAAAGTGATTTCTAAACATTTTATGACCAGCTCTGTCAAACAATGGGGCCCAAAAAGGCTCCGCCATAAAACTGTTAAACACTTATTTGTTTTGCCCGCCATAAAACAATTAGGAAGATAGGATTGATGACATCAATACAAAAAAAGTTATACTCGAGGATGGTGCAGGAGTTTAAGAATACAGTGACGGCATCGAGCGATGAACGAAGGGTGGAAAGAGATGCGAGGTGGAATCACGGATCAGCTGCTGTTAGGTCGGCAGAAATTGAATTGCTCGCGTTCAGCTAGTGATCGAGTGGCTTATGTGGCTTGTGATGTGTGTACGAGATGTCCGGCAAGCCGGCGAGTGTGGGGCCGCCGCGAGCGGGCGTGGCTGGCGCGCCTCGCGTGCTGGTGTACGTGGCGGAGGCGCGCCAGCTAGAGGCGGCTGCCGCGGGGCCCGACCCGCAGCCTCCACCGCTTGACACCCTCTACCTCCAAGACAACGTGCCGCACCTGCCTATGCCGAGGAACAACCTGTACCGGAACCCCATCGAACAGAACGATCAGAGAACTGGTGCACTCTACTACAAAACCATCAATGATAATGAATCTAAAATAAAACCGTTCGAATCGGAATCTACCCAGAGGGAAGAGTTCTACACAACTCCACATTTTATGAAAGATAATATTAGAAACGATGACAAAGCTAACGATAGGCAAAGCAGTGTGACGGTTAAAAGAGATTGCGAAAACTCTGAGTGGAATAATATAGATTCATACCATGTTAGAGTTCCGATGCAAGTTGGGGACGTCGGGGCATATCAGAGATGTCCAGTAAGTGTAGATAACATGCCCGTGATGCCGATCGGGCATAGCCAGTTCAATGATAGCGGTAGTGATATGAACTGTGAGAGGGAGGTGTCGGGGAAGAGTTTTGTAAACTATCAGTTGTTAGAACAGAGTGTGACTCATCAGTCTATAGTGAATCAAAGCATTAATATACTGAACCAGCAGATTGGTGTGAATAGATCTGTAGTTAGTGAGAGTGATGGTAGCCCACAGCAGCTAATACAGACGCCCGATGGTGTTGTGCTGGCCGTGCTTCCTCCCTCGGCTGTGCCCCAGACTGAAGGTGATGTTAGAGCCGTGCATAGTGAATATCCACAAACAATTACCGTGCCGCTGGGCTGGCGGAGAATCGTTAATGGGACATCTGTTCTATATGTTAGGTACGTATAATTTTCTTCACTTTATCAATTATATACAATATAAGTAATCCTATATATTTAGGAGATACTAAATTTTGTTTCAAAATTAACTTTAAAGGTATTTTATTATAATTGTTTTTAAACTAGCAGTTTTTATTACTCCACTGCTTTATTGCTAAAACAGGTGTGAGATGTAATATCAATAACACTTCTTTAAATGAGCTTTTAATTGATACAATTATGAAATATTTTTTTTATGTTCCAATCACATTATCAAAATACAGACAAAAAATTTTGTATGTAAAATTTATTCAAAGTTTTATATTTTCTCATAATTCTCATGTGAAAATCAGAATTATTGTTTTTGTTAACTAATAGAGAATATAATAGTACAAGAATTACTAGGGTTCCTTTATGTTGGATTATATGAAGGGAACAGACAATTTTTATAAGTACCAATTAATTATAAGAATATAAATTATTTTTAATTTTGTTACTTTTTCTACTCTAGTACCTCAAGGGTTAAATTTAATGACCATTTCGTTTTTATATTCTGTCAGGAGCAAGCTTCATTAACATTTAATTATTATTTCACTTGGCCTAATAAATTATTAAATATTTTTCCTTATTATAAGTGATATTCGATGTTTTACCTCTAGAAATTAAATTAGCAAAAAAATTTACATGACAGCATCACCCTAAAAAGGAAAAAAAAATCCTTATCAAACATTTATTGAAACTTATTATTGATGACAAAAAATATATCAAAACTAATTACTTTAAATTAAGCAAACAAATTAAACTTCTATATTTTGTAATCTGGCTACTTAATAAAATCAATATATTTTCCATAGAAAATAAAGAAAGTCGTAATTTTTATATACATAACTTTTTAAATGAACATTTGAATCTAATAAGTGGCTTACGATAACACCTTGTACAATAAACGTATAAGATTATATTATGTTTTAATCAAATAAGCCACGCATCGTTATTTAAATTTCAGTCTCATTGTTCGTAACAATAAAAGTTAATTTTGCTTGAACATTAAGTACAACATTAATTAGCTCTCTAGAATAGAAAATGATGATGTGCTCTAGAAAATTTATAACCGTGAAGTAGCTGTAAGCACGATCAATAGATGTTCAAAAATTCGCCAAATTGAATATTAAATCTCGTTTCATATAGCAGGAAGGCGTATCACAAAGCCGATTACGGCTTATAAATTCATGATTCAGCTGTGAATTATGTGAATATTTTTCTGTACAGTACTTTAACTGGTTTAAAATTGCTTCAGTGAATTATTTTTATGTGTTTCAACTGTTAAATTAGTTTATTGGAATTTTTAGACTTTCGTTTGATGTGTTTTTTGGTTTGACGTATATAGAGACGTTTGATTACTTATTACGTAAGATATTAAAAAAATAAAAAGTACTTTTATATTTTTCGTTACCTAAAACTTTATTATTTTATTATCAGATTAAATCTCAAACAATGCACTATAAAATTATTTTGGAGAATGTTGATAAACATAATTAGTCCATATGTCATCAAAGTTTAAAGGATTATTTTTAACCAGCACCTGCATATATGACTTAAATGTACCTATAATTGAAATTAATAATCAACAAATTGATTAACGAAAGATAAAAACAACGATCGTAAATTCTCATAAATCATCCAATTGTTTGTTCAAACAATTCGCTCAACTGGTTTCAGTTGGTTATAAAATTAATAGGAAATATTGAAGATGTATAAATCGATAATAAAGTACGAAGAGAACACAGACGAAGTTGAGATCGTGCGTTTACGTTAAATCAATCCGGGACAAGTGGACAAACCAGTCGGGCAGCTGCGGACGAAGAGACGCGCCGGCGCAAGTTACGAGAGCTTACTATACTAAATGTAACACGCTTGATATAATCACACATCTATAAACATTATACGAATATAATATATACATGAAACGATAAAATAATGAGCGAAAGTCAGGAGTTCCTATTAGCTTATCACAGAATCAAATGATATCATCGCGTGAAATGTTTACGAATCGTAAACGCTTGTAAATTAAATTCATTATCACGTTTGGATTTTTTCTCTTGCTTTCAAGACGGCGACTTTATCCGGTGATTCGAGTATCTTTTAAATGGATTTAATTTTTCGCATTCGGAGACACAAATACGTACAATATTCAAGATACTTGAAGTGTACACTGTACATACAGGAACTCGCTAATGCGTACAGATTATCCACCCACTGTTTGATTTAATGTGGGTTTATTTGTGGTTCTGTTGTTCTGTAAATCGTATCAGGACTTGATTGACTCGGTCTCATCTTCATTGTTTAAAACGTAATTTAACAGTTGATTGTGTTTCATAATAACGTTCATTGTTGGAGTTATCGTTTTATTTAAATCGTTTGCTGGCTAAGGCGCGCATGGGGCACTCTTGCCGAGATTCCATTGTAGGTCGCTGTGCTCATTACATTGCTCTTATCTGTCATTGGCAGTACAATGCTTTGTCGAACAATACTGTTACTCACGCATCTCATACAGCTCTTGGATGGATTATACGGCTTGTTCGTTTATATATTATTAATGTTATATTTTATACCAAACAAATTTGACGGTGTCACTGAACTTTGCCGTTAGTCTGAATTTTTAATATACACAATCACATAAATACCAACAGTTTGACGTTTTTTATTATTATTGTAACAAATCGTCGGCATTACTTGTGTATTCAATGATTTATGAATTGTATACTTTGACACCTTCGCAGTTTAAGTTTTAAGACTCACACTAAAGCTTCTGCTCGCTGTATCTTAAACGTATTGTAAGCAACAATTCAATTGGCCTACATATTTATGAAAAGACATGGACAGTATATCATTTCATAAAATTTACGGTCACAGCTGACGAGAATAAAAGAAAGCTACGGCGCTGTCTTTAGTCTTACTGACTTCCTTTGCACAATTGATTTACGGTCCGCATAATGCGGAGGTCGCTTCGTATAAATGAAGGATTTATTAAGCGTTATGGAATTTTCGGGGCGTCCATTGTGACGACACAGTCGTGTATGGTATTCAATAATAACGCTAACAGCACGGGTTTCAGCATTGTTTCTACGTATCCGACGGGGCCATACCATCACCCACTTTGATCCGATATAAAATTCGTTCCGAATTTCTTTACAAGCGTTACAATGGACCGTGCTCGTGGTCTCATTGCATTGTCGCCACCCGCCGTGTGAATATTTTCAAACTTCTTTGTTTTTTTTTTTTATTATTTTTAAAGATGTTAGAAAGAAGTTATTGCGTCTGTTATAATAAAAAATATACATATTATTTTCTAGTGGTGTATAATCTTTATAAACATTTTTAAAACCTTTAATATTCTGGGCTATTACTATTGCCATGTCGCGAGTCCATGTGAGTAATTAGTACAGAAATAAGACTATAGCATCATCGATAAATACCTATAAAGAAAATTATAAATAATTCAAGATTACAATTTTTTTCTATCCATATAATTGTATAAATTTTTATGAACTAAAAGTTTAACAGGAGCGAAACTTTGTAAGTAGGATCATGAGTAATAAATCAAAGCATTACTCACATTAAGGTTAACGAAAAAGAATGCAGTTTGTACTATTGTGTTCTTTAAAAGAAATACGACCCTTACCTGTGGTCGTTAGAAGTCAGTAAAACTTTACAATGTTCCTAATTTGAGATTTACGGTCCCGGCTTCTGATGAATGGCTATTGTGAAATACAATATGATGAGAATAAAACAAAGCCGAATAAATTTTGGTATACTTTGTTGGAATAACTTAATTGGTCTCTAGACCGTAGGTACTTATTCATTCGACAACAGAGTTATTTGCTGAGTATTCATTCAGAATACATTTCATAAAGGTTTATTTTTTTTGTTGTTGTGCGATTTAAGTCTTACCATATAAAATATTTCATTTTTTCTGCATACAAAAAAAGTTGAATTATTTAGCTTTAAAGTTATAGGGATCCTTAATGTTCTGCAAAAAAAATATTTAACTGGTATATTGAGTTTGACATAAGTACTAGTATTTTTTCTTACAATTTCCTAATATAACTAGTTCAGCGTTTTTCTTAATTGCTCCATATATGGCGATAATTAAGAATTCATTATAATTCCTTTAGAAAACTTGTCGTGTTATTTGGTTGCTAATATTTAAGCTGCCTGTAAGCTGCCTGTAATATTTAAGCTGTCTGTAACAAGATCATCCATCTTACAGAATGTCTTACAAACAGCTTTAAATGTGTAAGAGAAGATTAGTACAGGGAAAATCTTCATTGATCTCGTAAATTCTATCAACATAATATTTTGTCTTTTCTTATGATTATAGGACTTTTTTTAAGATTATGGGACAGCAAACTTGCGCTAGATTTGCCGTATCTAGTATCAGGTAGAGCACTTGTTAGTATAAAACCATGTTTAAAAATAAATATATAGACACAAGGTTACTCGCAAAAGTACTTTATTTGTCAAGCGAAACCTTACTTCTATGTCTCAATCATTGACTATTGCCTTGTCACGTATACTTGAGGATAATTAATGTTTATTAGACTATATACTAGCTCTTGCAGACTGCTTTACTCGTATTTTGGTTCACTACTTCCATCCCGGGGATTGTAGCTATGTTATGTACACTATAGTTATGCTTCGTACGTGAAAAGAACACAGAAATATTATTAATAGAACCTGTAGTTCTAGATTATCGCGTTCGAACATATGTAAACAAACTTCAGATTTATAATATTATTACAGATATGGTTTTAATCAATTATGTTGAGAAATATCTTGGAGCGAAATTGTTTTAAAACAACAAAGTTAATTAATTATAACATAATACAATTAACGATTCAAAGCCATGAGAAACGAAGTAATATACAAATAACCAGTTTATATAATGTTATATTGAATAATATGAAAAAAAAATATATGTATTCAAGGTTAACGACGCAATTGTGAACGGCTGTTATGTA